GCGCGGCGCGGGGGGGGGGGGGGGTGGGGCCCGCCGCTCCTGCCGGCCTCGGGTCTGGGTTGAGGTCTCCCTCCCCCACCCCGGGCTTCTCGCTTCCCCATTCTCCCAATGTCCCTCTTACGGCCCACCCTCTCCGTGCCTTTCCAGCATCTCCCCCAGCCCCCGCAGTTCCTCTGCTCCCCCGAATTGCAGTCCGGGGGTAAAAAGCCCTAACACGTTCTCCCGCCCCTGCTCCCTGGTCCCATTGGTTCCCTCCCCCCCTGCAGCACCTGGCCCCCTCAGGCACCCGATTGGCCGGTGGCCCCATCAATCCTTGCCTGGCCTGCTGACGTCATCCTGCAGTAGCTGGGATGGGGTGGGAGTGAGAGAGAGAGTGAGGACGCTGGGCTTGAGAGGGAACGAGAAGCCACCGCAAGTCCCCCTCCTCAGTCTCCCAGCTTGGGGTCTGCCCAGGTCTGCTTTATGGACTAGCGCGGGCGGGCCGGCTCCTTCCAGTCACTGTCCTGCAGCCCGCCGCCATCCCCGTCCTCCCTGGAGAGCCCCTGCATCCCTCCCCCGAGGTGGAAAAAACAGGCTCGTGGCTCCCAGGGGAGAGCCATCGCCGGGTCCTGCCCTGGCCCTCGCGCACCATGACCCTGCTGCTGTTGCCCCTGTTGCTGGCCTCTCTGCTCCCCTCCAGCTCCTGTAACAAAGGTGAGTGAGGCGGGGGCTGCTCCCGAAGAGGGCAGCAGGCAGGCGCCGAGGGTGGGGGTGGGCGCAGGTGTCAGGCCCTCGGGCACATGCCAGGTGTGGTGTCTTTCCTGCCCACCGGCCCACCCGCTTGCTCAGACCTGTCTTCTCCTTGCCACGTCCTCCTCTGGTCCAGCTGCACCATGTGCATCCCCTGTTGGGGATCTTCGCCCGTCTGGTCCCACTCCTGTCCTGGGGCCTCCATCTCCCCCTCCCCACCGTCTCCTTGCTGGTAGACCTCTCCATCTCAGAAGAGCTTGCCCCCGAGATGACACCCATCTCTGGGCGCTTCTCCCTTCTCGCTGGGCGTGCGCACACCCTGGGTGTGTGGCGGATCCATCTGTTTGATCTCCAGCCCATCCTGGGGAGACACTGCTCCCCGCATCTCGCAATTCGGAGCACGTATGTCTCTGCGTGTCCCTCTGCATCCATGCCCTGACGCCTGCGGCAGCTGGGCTGGGGGTTACCAGAGCTGCCCTCTCTGGCTGAGGGCAGATAAATTCAGCTGTGTGAGGCAGCCAGAGGGGCGGGCAGGGAGGAGGGGAGGCAGGGGTCAGGGGCGGAGGGCTCCGGTAGGTGGGCATGATGGGGACAGGCAGGAAAGGGCAGCAGTGGGTGTGTGGGGGTGAGAGGGAGAAGGGGAGGCGGCGTGGGAGGGGGAGAAGAAGATGGAGAGGGTGAAGGTGGGGGCATGAATAAGCAGGAGAGAGGAAAATCCCGGAGAAGGGTGAGAGGCGAGGAAGGGGAGAACCCACGGGGAGGCTGGAGCCTGGAGGGAGTAGGAGGGAGTGGACATGGAGACAGCAGGTGGCCGGAGGAGAGGAGCAGGGACAAGCTCGGAGAGCAGGTTGGAGGGACATGGGAAGGGCCTGGCCCTGTCCTTGCGGGGCTCTGTCCTGCCAGCCACCCTCTCCTCCGTCTGGTTGGAGAGCTCACCTCGGTCTCCGACCTCATCCCGGCTGTTCAGCCTCCTGCCACTTCCTGTGCTGCCAAGCCGTTAGGGAAGTGGGTACGGTGGTCACCGGCATGACAGGGCAGCCGCGTAGGCTCCAGGAGGCTTGCTGGGGTGTGGCTGGAGGGGAGAATGGAAATGAAGGCTCTCACACCAGGAGAAACTGGGCTGAGGAGCCGGCGGTGACTCAGTTTCCCTCTGTGGTATGTCCCCCACCCGTGTCTAGCTGACGTGCTGTCACGATGTACTCTGGGAGCCCGGGCCCTGGCATGATGGATCACTTAGAGCAAGCAGCAGAGGTCGGAGGGGCGATGTGCATGGTGAAGGGAACACACTGAGCCCCCCCTCACTCTTTTCCGTGCCAGCAGGCCCTTGATCTTAGGGAGTGGCACAGGTCAACCGCGTCTGGTAGGAGAGGGGAGAGCTGGAGTCCGAGTGCACCTTCCACCACCCCGTTCTGGTCGGTGGCCATAGGGACGGTGGCAGCCGAGGGCTGGGATGACGTGCTGGGTCTGTATGAAAAGTGGGGTTCAGGGAGCGTGGGGCTGGGTGGCCCTGCAGAGGGCATCGAGTGCGCTGGTTCTGCGTGTGTTCTCTTGGGTGTGGGGGTGGGAAGCAGGGAGGGGATTTGTCATGTTTCTAGGACAGCTCGATAATCCCCTAGGATGTCGGCTGTACTGGGTCCAGGCAGTCATTTGGCATCGATTCCTCTCTCCGTCCCTGTCCCTCTCTGTCCCCCTCCCTCTGTCCTATATACCTTCTCTTCTCTCTCTCCTTCCTCTGCTCTGGGAGAGCTACCTCAGGCTGGGGCTTGGCTGGGAGAAGGTGCAATGAAGGGGACAGGGAGAAAGATAATCGGGAACTTAGGAAACTTCTAGATCTTCTTTTTCTCATCTTGGCTCTGCCCTTAATCCATCCCTTTCCTTTCCCTGGTAAAGGGGGCTGGTGCTCCCAGAATCCCCCATTCCCAGTCTTCAGCACACGAAGTCCCTATGGAAGACTCCCCCATCTTCTGGGTGTAGTTCCCAGGAGAGGAAGTGGTCTCCTTGCCCCCAGGGCGTGCCATGGTCGTGGAGACTGTCAGCTGTGCTGTGGGAGAAGGCCTACCGACCTACCGGGACCTAACCGTGTAGGAGCTTGTTCTCGTCTTCAGCGCTGTCTCCTGCACAGTCCCTCCGGGGGGTGGAGAGGGTGATGGTTCTGGGGTGTGCGTTGTCTGGGTCAATAAGAATTTCTGGGAGTGGAGGTCCTGCTCATAGGTGCTTCTTCTGCTCTCCCTGGGGTGGGGCCAGCCAACAAGCACAAGCCATGGATCGAGGCAGAGTACCAGGGCATCGTCA